GGACCTGAGAAGTCCATGCAGGCCCCAAGAACTGCAATCTTCCCTCCTCGAAGAAAAGTTCAATATGTAGGCCTGCCCGAGGGTGATGAAGGCCTTTAAGCAGGCGGCGCATGGTGGAAATCCCCTCACCAGTCTCACAAGAAGATTGAGTTTGAGCAACTTTGGGTGCCATTGGATGATTTTGAGGAGAATATGGGAAGAATATTGGAATTAGGGGGCAAGAATTGAAGAACAAGATAAGTTTTTGGAAAGTCTGAATACTCTGAGAATTCTGGGAAGTTCAGGAAATTTGAAGGCTCGAAATGGCTAAGGTACTTTGCCGAGGAGTGTAAGTGAGGATTATATAGTAAGTGGGTAGTTAACGTTTATAATTGTGGGTTAGTGCAAAGGTCTAGTTAATAACGGTTGTTTTAAATGGCATAAGTCCCGAGTGAAGGCGTGTGGCGGCTATTTAATCATTATTAGCGTCTCGAGTTGCAGACTCAACAATGATTAAAGGGGGCACTACTTGGGTTAATATTTGAACAATGGACTTAGATGAAGGAAAGCCCAAAAATGTCTAATTAAAAGGGACCTGCCCAAAGCCCAGCATTAAGCCCAAAGGTAGATTGAAGCCTTCTTAGCCAAGATATAAGCCACGTGCTTACCATTGAAATGACAAGTGATGGAGACTAACCTACCACCAGCAAAAGAATATTTTTCATTGGCATTACAAGTAAAAAGCTGATGACTCACTACCCTCAAAGTGTTTTCGGGTAAGAACAAAGTTACAACAGTCTGGCTAATCTGTTACAACCACCCCCAATTATATGTGTTATATATTATTTTCATCCCAAATTGCCACGTGGCAGCCATCTAACTCCCCTCTCTTTTCTCTCTTTATGTCCCCCCTTACCCCGAGACCTCTCTCTTCTTCATCTCTCTCTCTCAACCTCTCGCCTCACTTTCTTATCCTGGACACTAAGACCCTGTCACCATCAAAGGAGGCTTGCAACGAGCCCAGGACCTCTTCCTTGTGAGTTTGACGGCACGGGAGCAAAAGCTCCGGCGAACCTTCCCCATTTTCCCGTTAGGTAAGTCGCGAATCTCTCCCTCTCTCCGTTAGTGTAATACTTGGTGGTGTTTTTTGAGTTAAATATTTCCCTTTTTACGTAGGTTGTACCTTGGAATCGAGTTGGGTTAAGCACACCAATTCTTCCGGCGAACCCGTAAGCTTCGAGGGGATTTCCGGTCACCTCCGACCATGTCACGGGTATTTGAGGGTAGCAATCTCTTCCCCTCACCTTACTCTTCATGTTCGTACTTAGATCGGGGTCTAGAACCCTTGTTTTCAGGTGACCGGAGCTGTAGCAGCTCCGGCCTTCTTCTTCGGTAAAAACCAGGCCTCTCAGGCCGTTTAGAAAACCCCACGGACCTTAAGCCCGTTGTGCCTTAGCCCAAAACCCCAGCTCGTTTCATTTTTATTTTTTTGTTATATTGTTTTAAAGACCCAAACGGCCTTAGGCCGGTTTTTATTAAAGGGCTCAAAGCCCAGCCCATTTGTGAGGCCTTAGGGCCGACTTTTGTGTGTGTGTGTGTGTGTGTTTGTTTGTGGGCTGTGTGGGTGTGTGTGTGCGTGTGTGTATATGCATGTCATGCATGCAATTGCATGTCGTGCATGTGTGTGTGCTTAGGTGGTGTGTGTGTGTGTTTGGGCTTAAGCCCAAACCCCCGTTTCTTCACCCTAAAGCCTTTTTAACCTAAAAAACCTTTTACCTAAACCCATTAGACCCTAACCCATCCAACCCAAATCCTTTATTCTATTTAGTTCATGCCCAAATCTTTTAGAAAATCCTTTTATTTATTTATTACATTTTTATGCTTAGGTGAAGTTGCTATTGAGGAAATTCCTAATCCATATCCACACAACTCTACTGCTATGGAATATTTGTGAGTGGACCCCTTCTAAAATTTCATGATTTTATCATTTAATTGCATAAATGATTAGCATGCCTACGAATTTATGATTCGATTTATGTTAAGCCTGTTTATTGAATTTATTGATTTTCGTCTCGTGTTTTTGGTGAGGAATTAATTGTTAGCCTATATTAAGCTATATTTTAATATATCATATTTTCTATATAAACCATGATCTGGTAGACTATCTAATGGATGACGATAGGATACTAGAACATGTTTTAGAAACCCCTCTTTATAGTATAGACGATGGATGATTTTATACTATGAAGTGGTTATTTATGAGAAGCGTAACTATTTGTGCGTACCTAGAGGACACTATGCTGCCTGGGGCGAGGATCTGGTGTTGGCATTTAGGCCGAGAGAAATAATCCCTAGCTACGGGCTGAGGGACATGGAGCAGGCATTGGGCCGGGAGTTGGTAATCTCTGGCTACGGGCGCAGAGACCACGGAGCAGGTATTGGGCCGGGAGTTATATTTATTCAGTGATCTTTCTAGCAGCACACCACGCTTACGAGACAATCTGCGATACGTTTATTGTTTTGATTTTCGCGATGCTATTCCGCGATATGACTTTTGAGATAGTTTTGGCATGCTAGGATTTTGATTAAATCCATCACTTATTATGCTAATAGTTTTCATTATATAAACTGTGGGGGTTAGTATCTTGATAACTGTTTTATTATTATTGTATATATGAACTTGGTCCACTCACCTTTGTTTTGCGCCCCCATTCAGGTCATAGAAACGAGGACTACAACTTGACGTACGAGGCATTCCCCTACCAGTAGCAATCTATCACCCACTTGTGTGATATCTTGTAATGATGTTTCCTTTTTGTAAATCTTGTTTTAGATTGTGTCCTGTGCACTCTAGACACTTTCTTAATCTTTGTGTATTACTTCGAGATTTTAATGTTTATTCATGAATATTTTCTCCTAATCATTACTCTTGTAATCAATTAATGGCTTTCGTCACCCTTGGGTGTCAGCCAGCACGTGTCTATCCTGGTATTCGGGCAATATCAGGGTCGGGGTGTGTCATAATCTGCCTTTAAAAGGAGGAAGAGGCCTCAGAGACAAAGACATTCAACCAATCAAACAAACAAACATACAAACTCTGCTCTTAAGCCAGATTTGCATTCAAAAGCTGAAATCAACCCAGATTCAGTCTTTTTTAACGACAAGCTATCTCTTGTCCAGTTTAAAGCTCTGATATCTCCCTTAGTGGCGTAGTATCGATTCCCTTATGTAAACTTGTTTACCATCCATCCTTTTTTAGCATATAAACCCCTGTTAATTCAAATAGAAGTGATTGCAAGATGTTCAACCTTGCTAGACAAGGTGAAATCTTACCCGAGGCTATTTGCTTATTTTCTAAATTTGTAGATCTATTACTTAATGCATTCTCCAGTATATATTCAAGTCATATCCACCTGTTTTCCTACTTTAAGAGTCTTATTTGTATTTGGATCTGGTTAGTTTAATGAATATGTCTTCATTAAAAGCAATCTAGGACCAAACAAATGGCTTTAAAAGGGCTCTAGACTCCTTTCATTCGAACATACAAGACTATGAAATAAAAATCCTTATTTACAAGGCAAGAAAAAGAACTTAATATAACCCATCCACGACAATCCTTTAATAACAAGAAGTCTGAGTAACTTGGGGCACAAGTAATTGACTTAAAATACACTTGTTCTACATCTGATATACTGAGATAGCAATGGCACGCTTAGCACTTAGTTAGTTTTGATTGCGAGCCTCAAGGCCTACACCTAAGGCCCCACAAAGGCACTTTTCAGAATTAACTTTGTCCTCTTCTTGTAGCACATCAACAAGTAAGAGCCCGACTAAATATCCAAAGTGCCAATCCTTTGGGGAGCTGTGCTGAGGTCCGAGGATCCTTCACCAGAGAAATCTTCACCCAAACAAAAGTTATCACCACTGCGACTTGTATTTTTTGCAAATGTCAGAAGGAAACGGTTGAACATGTGTTACTTGAGTGCCCAAGTTCGGTCTCTATTTGGTTTTCGAGTCCTTTGAGCTTGAGAACATGTGGCATATGAAGTGGAGGATTCCAAAGCTGGATGATTCAAATGGCAGGAGAACTTTCAAAGCAAAGTTTTGATCATGCGTTGGTGTTGATTTGGAGCATCTGGAATGAACGAAGCTCATTTCTGTGGACGGGTAAGGCAATGAACCAAGTGGATATCCATTGTCGAACCCAAGCATGGCTCCAAGAGTATAGAAAATGACATGAAGTAAAGAAGGGCAGCAAGATTTCCGTTCCACAACCATGGGAAAAACTTGAGGTAGGTTGGCTTAAATGTAACATTGATGGTGCGTGGAATGAGCGGGATGGGATCAGAGGGACTGGTGTTATAATCCGAGACGAGCGAGGGATTTTTTTGGCAACCAGGACTTCAAATTTCCCGGGGGGCTCTTTCTGCACAGATGGCAAAGATTATGGTAGCGAGAGCTGCTGTCTTTTTTGCACAAATGGTGACGTCTCATGCTGTTGAGATACAAGGTGATGCAACAGTATTGATTAATGCATTACAAGCCGAGACAACAAATTTGAATGTTGAGTTTGGGCATGTTAATCATGATGCTAAACATATGTCGGCTTTGTTGTCACAATGGAAAGTTACGTTTGGTCGACGAGAGACAAACAAGGCAACACACGGATTGGCATGATTGGGCTTAACTTTGAGTAGTCAAATTTCTTGGTTTGAAGAACCACCTAATGTAATTTATGATATTCTTCTTGAGAATAGTATTAATACTTAATATGGTACGGAACATTTTTTTTTCCCTTCGACTGGGTTGAAAACCTCGACAAGGTTTTTATTAAGGTCCATTATTAGCACCTTATCCTATTTATTATTATGGATGGGTTCTAACATATCCTCTGTTTTGTACGATTTATTCCAAATAAATGAACATCGTACTTCTTCTCAAAAAAAAAAAAAAAGTTCAAAACATATAACGTCAGACAATTATTAAGAAAATTCATTTGAAAAATAAATAGGCTGAGTAATTGCTAGAATTGAAACCATTAAAGGTACGAATAAATAATCGAAAAGCTCAAACTTTCCCGCCTTAACTAGCTAGTGTAGTGTACAGGACTCGATTCATTTATGTTGTGGTTTGTTGTAGTTGTTACACATTTGGATGGAACACACTTGATGCAGCAGAGCATAACTCTTTCAAAATCATTAAGATTGGAATAGTAATAGCTATGAAAATCAAATAATACATTCATTATTCTCTGTATGTCATTTCTTGGATCTTGAGTGAATTAATCTCTTGTATTCTTTTCAATACTTGGACCATCTTAGGCCTCTTCTCTGGTGTCATGTCTGTACAGTCTAGCGCAATCTGTGTCAGCTTCAACATGTCATCGTGGTCATCCTTTGCCGCCAGTATCTCTACATCCAGAATATCAGTAGACCAATCATTGTTCACCACCATTCTAACCCAATCGGAAAGATCATCAAAGATTTCATCATTTCCCGGAGAAACTTCACCCGGGATCCTTCCAGTAACAACCTCCAGTAGGATTATACCAAAGCAATAGACATCGGCTTTCTGAGACAACTTCTTCCCTTGAGCAAACTCTGGTGACTTGCTGATGGCTAAATCCTCGGAGGACTTTCGCGAGGGCAGGAGTGGTAAGAATCCAAAATCTGTAAGCTTCAAATCATAGATTTGGCTGTTTCTTCGTTGGATGACGAGTACATTAGACGAATTGAGGTTGGCATGAGGGACCTTTTGGGAAGGCAAGGATTGGTGAAGGAATGTGAGACCCTGTGCTATGTCTTTGATTATCGACAGTCTTGTTGCCCAATCCAAAGCTACTCTTCCTACTCCTCTGTCCTCTAGCAATTATATATATATATATATATATATAGACACGCACACGTGCATGCATGAATCAAGTTAACATAACTCAGTTTCACAATTAAGTTATAATTATAAGCAACCAGATGATGCTTAATTAATTGTGATTTTCATGGGAAAGAATAAAATGTTAAAAACTGACCATGTAAGAGTTGAAACAAAGTGCGGCCGCCAGAGACGAACTTAGAGATGACCAGCTTCTCCTCCTTGGAAAAGTAAAAAGAGAGAATCCGTACAAGGTTTTCATGCCTCATATTTCCTAGCAATTGCATCTGCTGGGTAAATTCCTTTTTGCTCAACTCATTCATGTTTTTAAGTCTCTTCACGATGACAACAAGACCCGATTCCAGTGCTACCTTGTATGTAGAGCCAAGTTTCCCCTTGCCTAACACTTGTGCAGATGCCCTTAGTAAATCATCCAGGTCAAAAGCTGCTGGCATCTCCTTGTCAAAAAAATCTAACTCAACCCTCTTTTCAGGATCCCCCAACCTCTCCAAATGTGGCATTTTCTTTTCTACCCACCCTGACGAACCATCTCCTATTGCTCGGGACAAAAGACAGAAAAATTTAACTTAGTGCAGAGCTACTATTACTATATATATACATACATATATATATATACATATATATATATATATATATAGTTGTGAAAAACAGTTCATCAGTTCAGTTTCATGTGATAAATTCCATTTCATTAAGGTTTTAATCAACTAATGTGCATTCGATACCAATAATCGTTATATATACACTCACACACACATATAGGGTAGTATCACAGAACATTATAAGGTGTTAGTTAAGTGGTACATATATATACCTGCCTGTTCCTCCTTTGCCGCTTCTTTTGTTTGCATCTTCCCGTAATAACATAAGAAAACAAATATGACGATAAATGGAACGAGCGCAGCTGCAGTGGCAATCAAAGCAACACTCCACACTTGGAGATTGTTCTTGTTCTTGGGTGGAATAATATTTGAGGAAGGAGATGGCGCAATGATGGCCGGAGATGGAGATGGAGGTGGAACTAGTGGACATGGTGTCTCCAATGGAATTCCACAAAGATTTGAGTTATGAGAGTAGGAGCTTATTGGGAATTTTTGCAGCACACCCGTTTGAGGAATTGGACCCACGAGATGATTATAAGAAACATTGAATCCTCTCAGCGTGGGCTGGCCAAAAGGTGGAATTTTGCCATCCAAAAAGTTGTCTTGCAACTCAAGCACTCTGAGGTTAGGCAATTCAGTATACTCCAAAGGAATTGAACCCCAGAAGTAATTGTAAGACAGAAGCACATCTTCCAAGTAAACCAGATTTGAGAGATTTGGAAGAGGGCCGGATAGAGTATTGTTTGAAAGGGTAAGTTTGCTCAACAAAGTTATGTTATGTAGAAATGCGGGTGGAAGGGAACCTGCCAGCTGGATTCCTTGGAGGGCAATGTGAACAACGTGCCCATTTGAACAAGCGATACCAGCCCATCTGCTGCTGTTGTTGATGCACGGCGGACCGCTCCAGTTCCCATGCAAATTGGAGTTCGAGCTTACGGAATCTCTCAGCTTCAACAGCGCGTCTCTTTCTTCTGGGTAGTATTCATCAACTTCTGAAGAAGATGTAACAAAATTCACAGCTGATGTTAATGGATTCTCTCTGTATAAAATCAGCATCACAATAACAATTAGTGCGCTTTTAGTTTTACGCAGATTCATCACGACGACTAGGAGGACGATGAAGAAAATGGATCATGGGATTGATTAATGGCGATCGAGAAAGTAAGACATAATCATGTCAAGCAGGTTGTGTCTAGCCTGCTTGGACGTCATATCCTCGTTATTTTATTAATTTTTATGACAGTTTGACGAAGAGGGCAAGGCATGGGTTGCAAAGATATCCATTATATAAACAGCGTGACAGCTAATGTTAGACTAGTTTGTGAACTCTTAGCCCCCATTTTCCCCAGTTTAATTGTAGGTAAAGACCCATATATGAGACACAATATGCAATGAAAGGTATATTATATTAACATCTCGAGGAGCAAGAGAACGTCAAAGGCCGTGGGAATTAATGCACTGCAGTTGCACCAACAATATATTCCATTTTCCCAAGTTTAATTGTAGGCAAAGATCCATATATGAGATTACAATATGCAATGAAAGGTATATTACGAGGTATTTGTTGATTTGTCCTCTAAATTTGTATGCAGCTGTCAATTTTCCTTTTGAACTTGAATTTTAGCCGATTACCCCTTGAACTTGAATTTTAGCCAATTACCCCCATGAATTTTTATAAATAGCCAATTTCCCCCTAGTGTTAGATTTTATAAAAAAAATTCGTTCAATTTTTCATCATTTTTGCCCTCATACAATTGTCATATGTTGTTTCCGTGATAAAGATGGATGGAAAATTGGATGAAAATTTTTAAAATCTAACCACAGGGGGAAATTGGCTATTTATAAAAATTCAATGGGGTAATCGATTAAAATTATAGTTCAAGGGAGAAATTGGCTAATTATAAAAGTTCACAAGGGTAATCAACTAAAATTAAAATTTAGAGAAAAAATTGTCAGCTCCATGTAAGTTTAGAAGATAAATCGACAAATATGCCGGTATATATATTAACATCGTTAGTAGCAACGGAATGTCAAAGGCCGTGGGAAGGGAGGCAATGCGGTTGCACCAACAATATATTAACTTTACAAGTTGTCAAGATTCTTATTCCAGCTCAGCTCGGTAATAGGTTATGTTGTCGGTGGGTCCCTGTTTCTTAAACAATATTGTTATTGTGAGAGATTTTACAATGTATTCATAACATAGTCCAATACGCCAAATGTAATTATACAATTAGAGAAACACTTGAAAAAAAAAATATTTTCTTCAACTGTATAATGATATGTGATGTATTGTCCCATATTTTGGACACACGAAAAATTTATGTTGTTGTCATACCATGAACAGTTTCTACTCATTTAAATTTACATGTAACTTCATAGTTCATATCTTTCTTTTTTGCCACACTTCATAGTTCATATGACATTGTGGTCGGAATAAGAATATGTATTAACTTAATTATTCAGTTAGTGTTACCAAGGAGGGAGAAGGTGGGTGGGGATGGATCAAGATCCTCTCCTGAGCCTTAAAATATGAACCTGCTGAGCATGCGATCGTGACCGTTGAAATTTAATTTAACGGTTATAATTATTATAACTTTTAGAAGGTCTCCTTATTTGTAACCGTTGGATCAAATTTCAACGGTCACGATCACCTACTCAATAGGCTCAGATTTTAAGGCTCAGGAGAGGATCCTGATCCGATGGGGATAACTTTTTACTTTTGTTGGTAAGCTCTTTGTTGTTATTTACTTGGTAAAAATGCTAAAGATGTTATTTGTTTAAATTATATTTTGTTAATTACATGATGTGCCATGATTGAACCTTTTCATCAGTGATTTAATAATATCATCCATCAACTGCCATATCTGATCAAATTGATCTACAAAAAATATTTTAAATAGAGGGTTACTATACCATCATCAATATTTATTTAAGCCCGTACCACTGCCGGGTCCAAATGGCCTTGCCGGGTTTTCTTACACAGTAACATTAAAGTTAGGAGTCCAAAGGCCCATCCGAGCCTTCCAGGCCCAGTAACACAAAGTGTGATCCTAACCAACCCCAGGCATTTAAGCTTTTAGGTTTTTTGGTTCTTCAATTTTCATTCAACTTTCCCTCTTCTATCCGACATCAGCAATATCAGTCAGTTTAATCTTTTGCTGTTCAAAGGTATGTCTTCTTTCGGATAAAAGTTATTGCAGTATTTTGGCCTTTGTGATTCAAGCTTGAACATGTATTACTACTAGGGGTTGCGACTGTAATAATTGGTATCAATTTTATTTATTTGTTTTTCAAGCGAAATGCAGAACTGCAGAAGGCTTAACACTTCAGCGCTTTGGGGTGTTTTACAGGTTCATTCTTTACTGATAGGAATGATGATTTTGAGAATTGTCGATTTCTAGGAGGGACAAGCTTATGCTTTAGTTTTCGGAAAGCATTAACTTGAAATCAGGAAAAGATTAGTTTTGTTGTGTATAGGGTTTACGGCTTTTGCTATTGAAAGATAGATTTTGTTTTTTTACAATTTTGTATTGTATGTTAATTACGGCTTTTTGTTATTGAAAAAATGAAAGATTATGTCTTGGTAAAGACTGGTTGGGGTTGGAGGTGTCAGGTTTGATCTTTGGGATTATCTATAATACTAATTACCTTTATGTACCTTTACCCTTATAAGGCTACAACGAATGTCTCCAGGCTCCAACTTTAAAAATTTCTTGGTGTTTTTTATGGATTTTGTTTCCCTTAGATGGGTGTTACTGATTCTGAAATCTCTCTCTCTTGCAGTTAAACTTGTTCATTACAAGTCTTGCACAGAAAACTCAGAAATATGTCGAGTGGCACTGGTCTTGAGTCACTCGTTGATCGTATGAAATCCTTCACTCTCCTTTATTATTTTTCAAATATTGATGCTTTTGATTCTTATGCATGAATATAGTTAATCCTTCTATCCTATAGCCCAAGTTTGTGCACCATTAATGCAGTATATATGCTGTGAGCAGTTCAACTCTCTCTCTTAACAACATTTCTATGTGCAGAAACAATTTCAGTTATCACAAATGATGGACGGAATATTGTGGTATATTACACACTAACACGAAAATGCACCTTCTGCGCCTTATCAACATTCAAATGTACCTTTTACATCTTATTAATCAAATCGGTTTTTTGTGAACAATTTTTTTGTTTTTATTTCAGGGAGTCTTGAAAGGCTTTGACCAGTCTACTAATATCATTCTCGATGAATCTCATGAACGTGTTTTCTCTACAAAGGTTTGCATCTTCACTGTTACAAGCTTCCCTTTCTAGCGTCATCTTTGTTTACTCTTTTTTGTAATTAGACAGAAGGAAAGGGATGTGGAATCTACTTTCTGACAGGCCGAAGTATTTCTGATTTTTCCCAATTTTAAGCATTTATTATTTTCCTCATGACGTTGAGGATCTTAAGTGTTGAATAATACTTCTGTGTTTCATCTCTACTGCTACATATCGTGCTCATTCGGGTTTACATATGGTTTCCAAATCAGCATATTCAAAACGTACATTTGTTTTATTGTCCCACTGGCACTGGGTTAACTTGTATTTCTTAATTGGTGGCACAACTTTTTTCCTACTTATCTATCTTTCCCAGTCAATTTTCGGGTTTGCTATGGAATCATCAACTTGACCCAAAAAAAATTCTTGTATTTCTGACCGACAGGAGGGTGTTCAGCAACTCGTGTTGGGGTTATATATAATCAGAGGTGACAACATGTGAGTGTCAAAAACTTTTATTCTATTTACGATAGTTTCCAATGGGTTGAGGGAAGTAATTTGGAATGAGTTTCTACAAATATATGTATGTACTTCCCTTCTAAGTTATCAGTATCTTCCAATTGTTGCAGAAGCATTGTTGGGGAATTAGATGCAGATCTTGATTCTACTGTTGAGTGGTCAAAGATGAGAGCTTATCCCCTCAAGCCTGTCATCCACTGATTCAGCATGAAAATCAGAGCGGTTGTAGACTCGATGAATTGTGACCTACCAAATAAATGTTGTGGCATATAGGTATACAAGGATGAGATTCTGTATTGTTATGTTCATGCATAATAGGTTTCAAAAGTGTTTCCTAATCATATCATTTTCTGAAACACCGATGTAATCAAACAGAATTATTAGCAAAAATCTTACAATTTGCGACCTTTTTATGACTTGGTAGCCAAGAACATTATAAAAATAAGGGTTTTTATCACAAATGGTCCTTGAAATTGACCCTCACTGTCAAGATGGTCTCTAAAATTGAAAATCAATCAATGTAATCCCTTAAAATAGATGTTGCAAATTAATGTGGTATTTCCGTCACAATCTTGTTAAAAATTTTGCTAAGTGCTGATGTGGCACATAAATGGGCCCTACAAGATTTACAGGTTTTTATCATAAATGGTTCCTGAAATTGACCCACACCATCAAGATGGTTCCTAAAATTGAAAATCGATGGATGTAGTCTTTGAAAATAGGAGTCACAAATTAATATGATCTTTTTGCCATAATTTTGTAAAATTTTTTGTTCTATAAATTCAACATAATCCTTCTGCCACAATTTTGCACAATGAATTTTTTTTTCTTATACTAGGACCTACTCCGAAGAGAGATCCCTTCCATAAATTCTTAAAGGCACAAGGCTTAACCAAGGCCTAAGAGGGGTTTGGAACTAGTTTCCAATCAACAATATACGCACCTCGGTTATAACCTCATTATCTCAAGGCAGACCTCGCCGTTCTTTGAGTCACCAGACCACCAGGGAAATGCCGAACAAGCTCTCCAAGATTAAGGTTGTGAGGATGTTGATCGCCTAAATGTTAACGTTGATGCCTCAAAAGTCGTTGCCAATCAGTCATACCATCACCAAAGGTGATCTCGATCTAGGTGAAGTGTATCGAAGTGTGTAAAGATGGATGTATTGAGATTTTTTTTTTAGAGAATAGACAACGAATGAGGTAGAAGAATGTGGACTCGGATCGAATGTGATTACAGGACTGGGTTTTTGGGTTCACAACTTCTGCTTAACTACTAAATTATTAAACTTATTTGTAATTTTTTTTTAAAATTTAATTAGACTTGTGTGATCCATTTGTGTTACATCAGCACATAATAGAATTTTTGACAGAATTCTGACGGAATTACTACATTGATTTGGGACACTTACTTATGGGACTACATTGATCAATTTTCAATTTCATGAACCATTTTGATGTCGCAGGTCAATTTCAGAGACCATTTTGATGTCGCGGGTTAATTTCAATGACCATTTGTGATAAAGAGGTCTTATGGGACCCATTTATGTGCCACATCAGCACTTAACAGAATTTTTAACAGAATTGTGATGGAATGACCACATTGATTTGCTTGTATTTTTAAGGACAACATTGATTGATTTTTATTTTCAAGGACCATCTTAATTGTGAAGGTCAATTTTAGAAATCATTTGTGATAAAAACCCTAAAAATAAATTTAGTTTGTGCAAACTCAGCCTATGTTGATGAAAAATTGTAGTCAATATAACAAGAATGCCGAATTCGATAGACCACCAAGAAAAGTTTTCCAGTTTGATTGTGTATGGTTATATTAACATTGATCAGGAAATTGATTTTTGCACATCTTTTTTTCTTCTACACATTTTTGTTTATTTACGTAAACAGGATTGCGTGGGAGAAGAAAAAAGGTGTGCGGATATTAGTTCCTTATAAACATTTGTAAACACCAAAAAGTGGGACAAAAACCTCAAAGCTGAAGGAACACAAAGTTTAACCTTACACCAATTGAACTAGAAATTTTGATAAAAGTCAGAATTTATAAATTGATATACATCAATTTCCTTATTTAGATTCATAAACATAGAAATTTAGAATTTAGAATTTTCACGTGGAAAAAAAACTTAAAATTTGAGACCCTCAATTCCAAAGTTTAAATTTCATGTAAATATGTATCATTTCTAAATTTTTATGAGTTAGAGTTTAAAAATATCAAATTACGTATTCAAATTCCATTATTCTTTTAGGTTGGCCAAATAAGAAAATTCACAAATTATAGACAATAAAATTTTGTCATTTCAATTTCCGTCGTTTTAAAATTCCTTACTAATTTTAAATTTTCTAATCCAAACAAAGTATTATACTTTGAATTGGAAACTAGAACGTCAAGATACTGCACATCAACTCGCATTTTGCTAAGTTTGGATCATTCAATTGTCTATCATAATGTATCCAAACCGTTATTGAGCATAGAGAAGGAAAAATCTAATACATTGAATTGAATAAACCAAACAAACAATATTAAGAAGGGATATGTGGAAGGAAAAAAAAAAGTGTGTTTAATTAGTATTTCCAAAAAAAACAAATGTTCCATTTATTGGCACCTAACTTTTGATAAGTTTGTTAATCCATAAAACAAAAAATCACTAGACTTCTCAAATTCCCTTGTTTGGATTTACAAACATAGAAATATAAAATTTTTGCGTGAAAATAATCTTGGAATTTGGCACCTTCAAGTTCCAAGTTTAAATTCGATGTAAATAATCGTTATTTCCAAATTTTCATGAGTAAGAGCTTATAAGCAAAAAATAATAATAAAAATACAAAACAACTAAATAATGAGTGGCCACTACCACCGCAAAACATCTATCGCCGTCACCGCATACTGTTTTCACCATTGCCACCACCAACCACCATCAAGGATTTAAGTTTTGGTTTTGATAGACATTATATGTGAAATCCTGTTCCCAGATTTCACTGTTTAAATTACGTATTCCATATTTCATATTCTTAGTTTCGACGCTTTTATATTTACGGCGTATTTGATCCCTACGTATTTTTTCACTTATCTTTATATATTTGGATAGTACTCGTCGAGATGAACGCACGGGTGCAAACAGAATGTGATTCAGAATTATAACGAAGATTTTATGAGGTTTTGAAAGGGTACTTTTCGTAAATTGATAATTCATCACATGATGTATTTGGATGAGTGCCACGTGGGGCCACCCCCACTTTTCTGGAACCCTCTCTCTCCTTCCTCTTCTTTCCCGTAACCCCTTCACTCTCTTTAACTCTTTCTCTCGCCTCTCCCTTTCTTCTCGTGAAACAAGCCACCATCATCACAAAAAATCTTGACTTGTTGAACACCAAAACCACCATTATATGCATGTTTTCACCACCATAAACCCAGTTTTGAGTTTTGTTTCATTGAAAACAAATCTTAACCTCAAGTTCAAAGAACAAGGTTTTGGGCCGAGACTTCTAGGCGTGATTCAGAAATTTTTCAGCCATCTTTTGAACTCAAAACAGGTATAAATTGATTCCTCTCGTCGATTAGATAAATTTTCATGTTTGGGTCGTGTGATTTGGTTGAGAAATGAGAAAGTTATAACGATTTTAAGTTTGCCCAGTTTCCGGCGAACCCGTGACCTTCTAGACTATTTTCCGGTCAAACCATGGTGAATTAGCCATAAAAAAGGTATCAATCTGTTCATATCATTCCAAGCTATGATTGTAATTTTTGAATCACTCAATTTTGTTGAGTATTGACAAACTTATGAACGTTTAAAGTTTGCCCAGAAATTCCTGCGAGTTACCAGTTTTTCCCCCCGACGGCCGTCTTTCAGGATATTTTTCGGCCACCTCCGGCCACCATTTGGACTCCAAGTAGGTATAGTCTTGTTCTACACTTCTCTGGCTTCGTTTTGGTATATTATGGGTCGAATTTGGCTAAGAAATGAGTGAGATATGGAGTTCTAAAGATTGCCCAGAAAATCTGCAAAATCTGCAGAATCCGGCGAAATTTCGTTAAGGTCCGCTACTTGAACATTATAGCAATCGACGATCTAACCATTGGATTGTCACCAAACTTTGATACATTATAGTACGTAATACTTAGGGACCTTAGAAACTTACGAATCGAAAATCTAATAGTTGGATCTTACGGAGCAAGTGACGTAGGATCATGGACCCTACTTATGAACGACGGTTTGATTCCCATTAAATGTTGTTGTGGAGGACATATGAGATTTTATTTGGGTATATGAATTATCGAAGGAATCTAAATGTGGACTTGTACTTTGTTTTAGGCGACGATAGTGCATGACGTCTCAATTCTTGTGCTAGGGTGCGTTAGCGTGGACACCAGGTGAGTGACTTTAATATATGTGATTTGGTGATTATCCTGTTTTCGTAATTGTTATCCTGTGTGGTTATGACTTGGTTTTATAAATATGTTTTCTACTGAATTGTTATTTTTAATACTTAGTCATCGATTTATGTTTATGAAATCAGATTTGACGTGTATATTTTGAAATATGGTTTGATTTGTATGATTGGCATGTGGTGATGAAATGTGAGGGCTAGTAGTGAACCGTTAACCCATTGTGATGGGGATTTGTTGCTTCGATATTGTTTCATTTCCCGCTTCGTTGATTCGTTCTAAATTTAGTATTTGTGCCTTGTTGAGCTTTTGTAAATTTAGTAACTTGTGCCTTGTCTCGTTTCTTTGAGTTGTTGTACATTATGGTTGTTGGCCTTCTCGCTTGGTTCCGTTGAGTGACCCAGAACTGGGTTTCCGTTGAGTGGTTCGGTTCCCTACTCCGTCTAGATTCCGTTGAGAGGTCCAGAATCCCTCGTGCTCTGCGATTCCGTTGAGTGGTCCAAAATCGTATCCAGCTTGGATTTCGTTGAGTGGTCAAATATCCATTGTACTCCATGATTCCGTTGAGAGGTCTGTAATCCCTTCTACTCCGCAATTCCGTTGAGTGGTCCGGAATCGTTATCTTGGTTGGATTCTGTTGAGTGGTCCAGAGTCCCGTTTGGTATTATGGTTCCGTTGAGAGGTCCGGAACTCGATTAATTGCTTTTTTGATTCTTTGGATTGAGTTTAGATTGAGATAGCTTCAGAGATGTAGGCTTCGGCTGAACTGTGTCGCTCTAGCCCTACTTTTCATTATGTTGTATGAGTTTATGGTTGTGAGCTTTTATGACTTATTTCAGACGAGCCGTTGGATGGCTGGGTGACTCCTTCGGGATTTTCAGTGACTTGATTATGATCTCATAAAATTTGATTTTATATTTGATGTATATAAACCGTGATCGATGGATGGTTTTTAATATTACCACATACGTTGCATTATTGTCACTCACACAAGTTTTGCAGCTTATTCGGG